ACCCTAAACCCTAGCCGGCCCTACGCCCCACAGAGACGCCTGGCAGGAGTTGCAATCCGACATGGCTTCCAGCCTGGCCTCCGCCAAGGTGACAGACTTCTCGCCTTTCTTGGACACCGATAGGTTTGGGCTCAGGATGTAGAGTTTGGGGTTTAGGGTTTAGGGGTTTAGGGGTGTAGGGGTTTAGGGTTTTAGGGTTTAGGGTTTAGGGTTTAGGGGTTAGGGTTTAGGGATTTAGGATTTAGGGCTTAAGCCCAAGAGCCCTAAACGGTTTAGGGTTTAGGGCTTAAGCCCTTAACCGGGTCTTGCGGGTGCCAGGCATCCTGGGCAAAGCTCGAATCTGATGTGCTCGGTCCGGGCCCTAGACTCGACCCTCAACCGCTTTACAACCCTTACTTTTATGTCATTATCATTATTCTCATTGTTATTATCATTAACCATTATGAATATCATCATCATTTGTTATCAGTGTGATTATCATTATTGGTGTTATTATGAATGTTGTTGTTATTGCTATTTCCATTATTGTTGTTGTTATTATTGCTGCTATTGTAGATCTCTTAAAGCTTCAGAGCCCTTGTTGGGTTTAGGGGTTTAGGGGTTTAGGGGCTTAGGCTTTAGGGTTGAGGGTTATTATAGATCTCTTCAAGTATCCCTTAGAGGAGCCAGATAAGCCTTAAATCCTGACCCCTTAACCCTAAATCTTAAAACAAAGCCGCTTAAACCCTACATCGTAATCTTTTCTGAGAGCCCTAATGAAGGGTTTAGGGTTTAGGGTTTAGGCCCTAATGAAACCCTACACCCCGTTTCCTGATAGGAGGTCTTATGAAGCCTAAACAACCCCAAACCCCTAAGTCCTAATTGCTTCTGAAAGGCCGGCTAGACCCTAAAACCCTGAAGCCTTACCACCCGAAAACCCTTGACCCGAAATGCTAAGCCCTACTCAAACCCCCTACTAAACCCTACCCCAAACCCAAAACCCTAAATCCGTATAAGAGCCCCAATCAACCCTAAACCTTATAAGCCCCCAACCCTAAACCCAAAACCAAAAGCACCACTAAAACCCGAGTAAGCCCTACAGAAGCCGACTGAATCCTTGCAAGAGCCGTAGTCAACCCAAAACCCAAAACCCCTAAAGCCCTAAACCCAAAACCCCTAAAGCCCTAAACCCTAAACCCCTACAGTCCCTAAGCCTGAAACCGTTCTAAAACGGTTATGGTTTCGGGTTTAGGGTTTCGGGTTTAGGGTTTAGGGTTTAGGGTTTAGGGTTTCAGGTTTCGGGGCCTCCAGTCTCGCCGAGGCTTGCGCCTGAAATTGGAGCCCTGGCAGGAGGCCACGTGCTTTGAGGCGCGCTTTAGGGGGTTTAGGGGTTAGGGTTTAGGGTTTAGGGTTTAGGGTCTAGGGATGCTTTGAGGCAACGCTTTAGGGAGCCCCTTGGGTTCCTTTAAGGGTTTCCTTTTAGGGTTCTTTTAATTAAGGGTTCCTTTAAGGGTTCCTTCTAGGGTTCCTTAAAGGGTTCTTTTTAGGGTTCCTTTAAGGGTTTCTTTCAGGGTTCCTTTAAGGGATGGTGAGGGTTCAGGGTCTGGAGTTTCGGATTTCGGGCTGCGGGTTTAGTGGGGTTTTGGGCTTAGGGCTTAGTAGGGGTTTACTAGGTCTAGTATGCGTCTAGTAGGGGTTTACTAGGTCTATTAGGGTTTAGTATGGGTTTAGTATGGGTTTAGTATGGATTTAGTATGGATTTACTAGGGTTATTAGGGTATAGTATGCGTTTAGTATGGGTTTACTCGGTTTGTTAGGGTTTAGTATGGGTTTAGTATGGGTTTAGTATGGATTTACTAGGGTTATTAGGGTTTAGTCTGGTTTAGTGTGGGTTTACTAGGGTTACTAGGGTTTTGTATGGGCTTAGTATCGGGTTTACTGGGGTTATTAGGGTTTTAGGGTTTTGGGGCCGGACGACGAGAAGCTGCACCCAGAAGCCTGGGCTATGAGTTCTGAAGCCTGAGCCTGAGACCCTAAGCGAAAGCCTGAACAGTTTTGTACCCTTAGAGGACCCCTTTTTTGCAGGAACCCTTACAGGAACCCTTACAGGAACCCTTAAAGGAACCCTTCAAGGAACCCTTACAAGAAGCCTTACAGGAACCCTTAAAGGAACCCTTACAAGAACCCTTACGGGAACCCTAAAAGGAACCCTTAAAGGAACTCTACGACCCGGAACCAAGCGAAGCAAAAACCCTAAACCCTAAACCAAACCCTAAACCCGAACCCCTAAACCCTAAACCCTAAACCCTAAACGCTAAAACCTAAACCCTGGGAGGGCCCGGTGCTCCGCCAAGGCCGGCGGATCGACCGCGGAGAGCAACATGGATCTGCTCCGGACGGCCCCACTTTGCCCGTGGGGAGCCCGAAAGTAGCCAGCAGCATGCTTCAGAGAGCTTTGGGGAGTCATCCATGGTATTTGACGGATATTCTTGCAGATGATGCACCTGCATGCTTTGTGTCTTCGTTTGTCGTAGGACTCCTAACCCCTAAGCACCAAAACCCTAAACACCCAAAGCCCTAAACACCAATACCCTAAACCCTAAACCCTAAACACCAAAGCCTTAAACACCACAAAACCCAAAAAAGTAGCAAATAACTTTGGCAGAGACTTGGATCGGAGTACAGGTTCTGCCTTCTGCCCTGCGTGCCCTTGGCGCTGGAGGCCTGCAAGTCCGGAGAGTGTAGGCTAGGTTTAGGGTTTAGGGGTTTAGGGTTTAGGGGTTTAGGTTTTAGGGTTTAGGTGTTTAGAAGTTTAGGGTTTAGGGGTTAGGGTTTGGGGTTTAGGGGTTTAGGGTTTAGGGTTTAGGGTTTAGGGTTTAGGGTTTAGGGTTTAGGCTAGTGCTTTCTCGCTGTCTCCAGCTCTATCTCTATCTCTACCTACCGACCTACCGACCTACCGACCTACCTACCTACCTACCTACCTACCTGCCTGCCTGCCTGCCTGCCTCCCTCCCTCCCTCCCTCCCTACCTACCTACCTACCTACCTACCTACCTACCTACCCACCTACCCACCTACCTACCTACCTACCTACCTACCTACCTACCTACCTACCTACCTACCTACCTCCCTATCTATCCATTTATCTATCCATCTATCTATATAGCTATTCATTTATCTATTTATCTATCTATCTATCTATCTATCTGTCTGTCTATCTGAGTCTCTCTCTCTCTCTCTCTCTCTCTCTCTCTCTCCCCCTATATCTTTTTTTACTCTCTCTCTCTCTCTCGCTGTCTCCCGTTCGCTCACGTTGTCTCTCTCTGGCGGCTAGTAGACATGCATGCAGACATGGTTATCTGAGATATGACATATGCAACATAGTACGTACTCAGCAAAAGACTAGACACACGCTAGCTACCAACTATCTATCTGTCCATTTGTAGACCTGTCTTTGCCTGCCTGCCTGCCTGCCTGCCTGCCTGCCTGCCTGCCTGCCTGCCTGCCTGCCTGATATATCGACATACCGACGTAGAGACATATATACAGACATGCATATTTAAACCCTAAGTCCTAAAACCCTGAACCCTAATGCCATGAAGCCCTGAACCCTAAACTCTAAAGCCTTGAAACCCTAAACCCTAAATCCTAAGCTCTAAAACCCTGAACCCCTGAACCCTAAACCCTAAACTCAAAGACCTGAACCCATCGCCGAAGGATGCAGCCCTCAGCCCTAAACCGTTCACCTCAAGCCGCGAGGACGAGGTTTCCAGCCTTGATCCGGGTGCGGCCCGGGCCCCAGTCCCTCTTTGGAGCAGATGAGCAGGGTTTAGGGTTTAGGGTTGAGGGCTTAGGGTTTAGGGTTTAGGGTTTAGGGTTTAGATCCTTTTACGAAGTTCCTTTCGGGGTTCCCTTAAGGAGACACCACTATAGAACCGAGTAGTACCCTCTGAAGGGGGCCCTATGATAGAAGCCTGTAGTACCTTGAAGGGTTCTTCTAGCGGGTCTATAAGGGAGAGGTTCAGGGTTCGGGGTTTAACGGCTCCTGTAAAGGATCTATAAGGGTTAGGTCCAGGTTTAGGGTTTAGAGGTCTAGGGTTTGGGGTCAAGGGCTTCTTATTGCTCCCTGATTGGGTTCGAGCATCGGATTTGTATTCGGGTGTTTTTCAACTACGAGATGGAATTAGCAACTGGATTTTCAGGGCAATCTGCTTAATGCAGGAGGGGGGTCTTTCCCTGAACCATAAAGCTTTGACGTCTGTGTCACTGTAGTTGCAAGCTTCCTGCACCGAGCTCTTCGAGTGGTAGAGGAGATTCGGAAACTCTCAAATAGGCGTTTCCGAAAACAGGGGACCCTTCATAGTACCCTAAATGGTAGGATCCTTATTATAAGGACCCCAAAATATGGTACGCCTTATTTTCGGCATCACTCAAATCCTTACATTCCGAACCCTCAGCCCGCTGATCCCTAGACCCTCAGCCGTATCTTAACCCTGAACCCCAAAACCGCAAACCCCAAACTCTAAGCCCCGAACCCTAAACCCTAAACCCTAAACCCTAAACCCCAAAACCGCAAACCCCAAACTCTAAGCCCCGAACCCCGCAGCCGGCTCAGGGCCTTCCGCAAGAGCGGATTCTGAATGTCGGGAGCTCCTTCAAACGGGAAAAGGCGTTCAACAAAAAAAGGAACCCTAAACCCTAAAC